ATTTAGAAAATTTCCGGTGTATCCCTCCGCTTATGTTATGACTACGAGGCGATGTGTGAACAAGCCTAATATTCTATGCAGTTTTGTTATTGTAATTTGGGTTCAAATCTAAACATAATTGTACCATTCATAAGAGCTTTCAGAAATGTATTGATTCTCAGAGGTCGTAAGGCCAAAAAAAATTTTGGAAAGTTAATATCTCATTGTGAATAATTCTTAAGGTTTGCCATGTTTTGTATTTTATCCCTTATTTGGCTACATTTGAATAAAATGTCGCCAAAAATATCTTTAAAAATATCTTTTTAAGTTAGCCTAATTAGAAAATATTCTAATGATTATAATATTAATATGATAATGCTGAAGTTTAAAGGCTGAAAGAAAGAACTCGGTACATGTGAAATACTGCAAAAGGTATGATGCAATTATATGATGGCGCGTTTTTTCAATCTGCGGCGTAAAAATATATCGGAAGCAGTAACCCGGAAGTCTTGAAAGAGCAATTTTACCACTAGCGCCACCACCCTTAGCTTTCCACGATCACCCATCCTACCGGCATGCTATCGCATAGCATCTTTCCCTTCACCTGCCTCTTTTATTGTCAGATGACTATTATTTACACTCCCGAGCAGTGTAGATATAGAATATATTATTGAAATTCAAGTTTCTTGCTACCTATTAACTATATGAATAAGCTTAGCTATTTTCGAAAAAACAGCATTTGAATATTGATTTAAATACACTAAAAATAAATCCCTTAATAACTTCTTTACCAGTTACCAGCTATTAAAAGTTAAAACGCTTTGCAGGATTAAATGCATTCTTTGATCTTCACGAAACTTTGATAATAATTGGAAATTAAAACAGAAATATGTTTTCCAATAATCTCCCACTTAATGCAGAAAGCAATAAAAATTTAAATTAAGTTCGGGGTTTAGAGACTTTACCTCTAATTAAAAACAAGTGAGTTATTTAGATATGCGATGGAAATATTCATAAAGTAAAATCAATTTCTTTTTGTTAAAAGCATTTTCGTTTCTTTTCTTTTTCATAAGTATTATTTACTTACATAAAATACGCATTGTTACAGCGGTTTTCCTGGATTTTTTTAACGGTTTTATTTCATTTTAATTTCTTTAATGGTTCTAGTATTTTTTTTTTAATGGTTCTAGTATTTCTTTAATGGTGTTAGTCATACAGAAGGTTTTAATTTGATGAGAATAATTCATATCTGCCACATTTTTTATTATGTAACCATAACAACAAAATATTTGTCTTAAACAGTTTATAAATTTTGACTACACAAGTGTCAAGATTAAAATCCATTATTTCAGCGGATACTAAGAAGACATCTTTGGTATTTGTTTGCTATAATGATACAAAGACTTAACATCATTTGTTTAGATAGCTAGAAAAACCTTTAATATTCTAGAAAAGTAATGTGTTTTAATAAATTTCAATAAAAAAAATCATCATTTAAATTATAGCATTTAAATAGTATTCATAACGTTAAATAATCATATTATTTGAATATTTCAACTCCAACAGCTCAGGAATAATTGTTTTGATTCATACCAAACTGAGAATCAATGACTCAACTTCTTTATTTCTTTAACAAAGAAAAAAAATGAACTTAGAGATTAATTTTCTAGCATATCAATATATTCAATATATTAATTTCCAGTAATTAACAATCTAATCAAAATGTGAACACATTACTTACTCCTTCTGCCTTAAAAATTGGCAAGTGACATAAGACAACAACAACAAAATTACTTACTTCGTAAGCTGTTTCATAGCGTGGGGTTTTAGGAATAAACACTCTTAGCACTATTTATTAATAATTTACACCTAAGATTTATAATACGGAAAATGCATCTTAATGTAACATTAGATGGTGAGGAATCTAAACTGAAACTTCCTGTGTGGGAAAAATCCTGATTCGCTTGCGCATGCGTGATACGATCGTTCGTATAGCTAAATACATCACATCTCCCCCCTCTTAAAAAATGGAATGAAGGTCAAGTATTTTAGGGAGCCATCTAATCCTTTGGGATCTTTTCGGCTGAAATTGAATTTGTTGAGAAGTTGAAGATGGAGTACTTCTCGGCAATACAACTGGACTTAGCTGGAGATGATTGACGAGTTTCTGGTGTTGATTTGACTGATCCAGAGAGTTTGGGGGTATCTCCACCAGAATCAGTGGAAGCAGGATAAATATCAGCAGAGTCGTTGTGAGAAATTTCACTTCTAAAACTAATTCGCGGAATATGAACAGTCATATCTACGATATGGTTTCCTGTTGGTCGTATTTGGTCTACGTGATGTCTATAAAATGTACCTTGCACATTAATTGTGTAATGAAGAGCTCGATCCTTGCTCATAACTGTTCCAAATTTCCATCTTGAACGATAGACTCGAAAAGCTACTTTATCACCTTCGTGAAAAGTATACGTGTTTTTCCTAATCTTCGTAACTCTTCCTTCCAAGTCAGGAAGAGCAAGATCTATTCTAGTTCTACTGTCTCTTTGAAGAAAAAGTATAGCCAGGCTAATCATGGTTGTCATATTAGGAGTCTTGTGATATTGCATAAGAAAGGTGCTAAACTTTTGCTGGATATTTCCGGCAAAATTTTGCATGGCATGGAGAGATTGCTTTAATGTGTATACACAGCACTCTGCTTGTCCATTGCTGGATGGTTTGAAAGGGACGCAAGTCTTACTCTTAATGCCATTGCTTCGTAGGCCAAACCGTGAAAAACAACCTCGGAGACATTCAATTATCTTGAACGAGTTGACTGCCTTCATTGGGTAAACTTGAAGCCATTTTAAATGGGCGTCAACAATGAGTAGAAACATACGTTCCAATATAGTCCCTGAAAAATCGGTGCGCACTCTTTCCTATGGTGTACTGGCATATCCCCAATGATGAACTTTAGCCTGCGCTAGGTCCGTTTTGAATCTAGAGCAGTCCAAACAGTTTTTCGCAGAATCGTCTAAGTCTTAATCGATGTCTTGCCAATGCACGTACGATCTGAAAATTGTTTTCATTTTTTCTACACCAAGATGCCTATGCTGCAATTGAATCGAATATTTTTGCTTTTTAGCAGTCTGGAATGCACACTCGTTGCCCACATAATAGACCCATCCTGTAAGTGTTAGGTATACCTTTCCTTCCCTTTTAATTGCCCTCCATATTGTGAAATTTTTAAAAGCTTTCCTTTTGAATGGTCTTTGCTAAATCTTTGCCAGTAACGGGTAAAGTCTCAATTTGATATACTGCAATATCATCTTATATTTCCAGTTCTCCAGATTTTATTAGCAAGCGCAATAAGCAGTCGGCATTGGTATAGTTCTTAGTATTGCGGTAAACGATATCAAAATCATAAGCTTGTAGAACAAGAGCATACTGCAAAAGTCTTGTTGCTGAAAAAACTGGGAGACCTTTTTTACATATAGAATGGAAACCAGAGGCTTGTTCAGTAACCGAAGAGAATGTATTTCCCTTTAAGCAGAGTAAAAACTTTTTAACAATCCAAATGATTGCTAAAGCCTCTTTGTCAATTTTGGAGTACGTTGTTCCATTGGAAATCAAGTTCTGAAGGAAAATGCTATGGGTAGTTCTGAACCATTTTGGAATTTACTGGAAAGTTCAGCTCCCAACCCTACCGGTGAAGCATCAGAAGATAGCAAGATAGAAAGGTTTGGATCATAATGAGTTAGTCTTTTGTCCGAACAAATTTCATTTTCGAAAGCTAAATGAAAAGAGCGATCCCATTTCCAATTAACGGTTCCCTTGCTTAAATTGTATAAAGATTAGGCTAAAGTTTCCAAGTATTTAGAAAATCTGAAGTAAAAATTCACGAGGCCATTAAATGACTGAACTTCTTACACATTTCGTATTGCCTCAGCATTTTTAAATTGCAGCTATTCTCTCCTATGTTTTTGAAAGCACCTTAGAACTTATCTTAAATCCTAAAAACTCAATTTTACTTTAAAAGAATTTACTTTTATCTTTATTGATTTTTAGACCATGTTCTCGACATCCCTCAAAAAAGTTTTGTAACCTTTAGTAATGAGTTTCGTTATCGGAAGCTGCTATACGTGCCTCATCAACAACAACAAAAAAACGTTTTCTAATGCACGGAATACATTTTCGAAGTAATTTTGCCAAATGGCTGGAGCTGCAATAATTCCGAACATTTATCTTTTCAGAGTATAAAGGCCATTTCCTATATTTATGGTTAGCACTTTCTTCTTCAATCTTCATTTGCAAATAAGCTTGGCTGAATTTACCCTAAGAAAATACCCTACCATCACTAAGGGATGCAAAAATATTTTCAGTTCGAGGAAGCGGGTGTTTTTGTATCTTCAAATGTTTATTTACAGTTATTGAGTAATTAGCACATAGCCGAATAGATCAGTTTCGTTTGACAATCAGGAACTATGGGATGGGTGTGGCCCAATCGGATATGTTTGCTTTTTCTATTGATCCTTCCCTTTTGACTTTCTGATTAGTTCTTTAGAGCAAAGGGAGCTGGTCAAGGTCTGCAAAAAACATTCTGCTTACATTCATTTGATATAACATTAAAAATTTATAATCAGAACTTCTGTATTGTTTTCATAGATGAGGGTATCTAATCAAACTAAGTTTTATTAGATATTTTAATGTGATAATTTATCTCAATCATAATTTGCTTATATTCAGCCCCAATTTGAAAGTCTTTATCTTCCGTCATCTTAATAAATATTTTGCTTACATTTAAGCAAAATAGTCATATGGTACAGTAAACACGATGCATTTAAAGTGAAAACTAACACTGTATGTTTTAAATATTACTTTCGTTTTTAGAACTCTCATCAAAAGTCTCATAAGTAAAGCATAAATTTTTTTTTTTTAAGTAAGCATAATTAAAGAACATAGAAAAGATTTTTTTTATAAGCATAATAATTTCATTGAAACAATTTCATTTAAAGTAATGGACAAATTCATCAAACAAAATATTTTTAAGTAAAACATTTTATTTCAAGATTAGCAATAAATAAATAGCATTTTAAAATGAAATAACGAGTCAGTACATGAATCAACTTAAAAAAACCAATTAACCGCAGATTTTTCATCAAGATTCCTTCCACAAAGCTTTCAGAAAGAACTATCATACACATCTGGAAGAAAACAAGAATTTTAACGGAGATTCATGTACCTTTTGGCTGTCATCATAGAATAATGCAAAAAGAGCTTTCAGTATCTGTAACTTTTCTTATTTCTTCTCCCTCGCTGGCAGCTTTTACAACTTCCACAATCTAAAATCATTTCAGAAATTAATTATAGGTTTTAATAATAACTCTTAAGTAATACTACATGTATAAAATAAAACCTGAGTATGCTTGCTTGCATACAAAGGTTATGCTAATTTGCATTAATAGGCACTAATCTATATTATTTTATATCAACTATTGAGGCATTTCTGTTTGGTAAACTAGACAGCAATACATTTTTTTTAAAGTAATAACTTATATTTAAATGCACTGTTTTAAACTAAATAGTCCTTAATAACTTTAAATTACTACATATATTGTAGTGGTATTTGTATAACACATTGCCAAAATATTATATGCATGTTAAATTATTGACAGGCAATTTTTAAAATATATTTTTTTATTATTTCAGAGCTTACTGTGTAGAGGAAACAACATTATTATTCCAAAAAAGGAAAAATAAGAGGAAAAAACTTGCAATGGAGAAATTTATAAGACGACTTGATTAACATTAAGTCTGTCTCCTCTCGCAATAAAAAGTTAAATGCAGTTGAGTGCAGTTTGATTTTAGCATAAGCGCTTTATTTTCGATACATTATTTAAAAATATATAAGTATCATTAACACGTACAGCACAGTGTGGTATCAATGAATGCCTCACTGGCTACCCTACTTTGGCCAAAAGACATTGTAATATTCTCTGATTGGTCTTGACCGAAATAAAACGGAACTTTTTCTCCATAGACTTAACATGAAGTGATCAACAAGGTATTTTTACCTTGCGGAATCTCATATTTTGCATTCATTCCTTTTGCTTTTAAAATCATTCTAAACTATTCAAAGTATATTATGTTAAAAAAATAATTTATTTTGTGAAATAATAAAATTTTAAAAATTATGATAGCTCTATGTGTCACTTTATGAAGTTATTTATATTATTATATGCCGAATAAATAATTATTTTTTTTAAAAAATTTTAGTTCTCTCCCTAAGAAATTATTTCTTGGAGAAAATTTTGAAAACAAACTAAAAATAAATTATATTTTTATATTTAAAGGGCTTAATTTGTACATCAACAATTTGATGTACAAATGAAGCTCTTTGGTGTAGTTCCTCGTTTTTTGGCGCAGAAAAGGAAAACCAATAGTAACGTAGCTAAATATTGATAACGTAGCAACAAGGAAAAATTCTTAGCAAAAATTCTGAAATGGCTAATTATAGCGATTAGTCATTATTTTCGTTTATGGTTTTTCAGGGTGTGCAACCAAATTATTCACCAAAAAATAAGCACCTTTTAAGCACTTTTCAAGCACTCAAAAAATATTTTTAAAACACTTTACAAAAATATCATAATTAGGCAGGGTTGGAAAGTTTTTGACAATTGACGTTTTTATCTTGTTTTAACAGTCATGTCCAAAAAAACTTTTGGCATTGTTTTTGACAACTGTTAAAAAATTATGAAATTTTGAATCGTGTAAAACGAATGGCGTTTTTATACGCTACGGACTGACAATACACCAAAATAGATCGGGGTTGAATTGTGAAAACGTTGAATAGAACAATGTAAACTGTGTCTCTTTGCATAATTCGAAGCGAAAATCAACATGGTAAAGGAAAAATCTCATTTTGAAAAAGGGAAAAATTAAGCACTTTTTAAAAACACCCAATGAAAAAAGCACTTTTAAGGTATTTTAAAAAACGAAAATAAGCACCTTTAAGCACTTTTCAAAAACGCTATGCGCTCTGTTTTTACTTATCAATGTCATGCTATGTTTTTTTAGTTTATATTTTTCTTTTATTGCTGTAATATTAATTTACTAGTTATTATATATTTCTACAGAAATTTAAATTGGTTTTTTAATATATACAATACCGGATTTTAATGCCTTTTTATTTGTATGCTTGAAAGCAAATATGTCGTTTTTTCATAAGTTTCTCATGCATTGATTTAAAAAATGAGTTAAATGACTTTGAGTTTATATTGAAAAAAAATATATCTAGATTTAGTAAGTATATATTCCATGAAGTTAAGAAATAAAACTTTTAAATCACTTTGCATTGAGTGCTTTTAGAATTTCTTGTGTAGTGTATTATTTCGTATATTTTATTATTTTTATTCACAAAAAAATTACTAGTATATTATATAGTGGAAAATCATATCACTCTGAATTTTATTGGCTGACTTCATATTCTCTTCGAAAGTGTAATACTATTTTTTATTTTTCATTATTGTTATGAAAAAAACCAAATGTTGCTACCATTCATTTTCTCTTTACTTAAATTTTATTTTCTGGATTGAATGACAATTGTTTAATTAAAAGATTCAATACGTACAAAAAATTTGAATTTCTATAAAAAGTAGATCATAATTAAGAATGGAAATTAGATATAATGACTAGTTATAAAAGAAAAAATAAATGCTTCAAGTGGATAATAATTTGAATTTAAATAATTTGATTTTTAACAAACCAGAACAGAAAAAAGTAAAACACATCACTTTCAAAAGACGAAGAAGAGATTTTTGGTGGCGATGGAAGTTTATTACGAAAACTATGCTCTTTGCGCTTTCTGTATGACAAAAATTATTTTCTCATTTTCTACTTTTTAGTTTTGTGCCTTTTAAATAAAGTCTTAATGTATAAAAAAAATTCTTCGGTTGTAAATAAATTTAGTTTGAACAATTAAAAAAACTAGTGGGTTGCGACCCCTGCGCGCTAACGCTCGCCAACCCCCGAAAATTGCTACGCAATCTTATATGGTTTACTTCGCAAACCAAGCTCGCTTCGCTCGCTACTAACTTGTGTATATTGCAAATACACAATATTCTAAGAATTCAAAACAATCATTCAAATCATATAACAACTTTTTTTAAAAAAATAAAATTACATCTTTTTAGTAAATACTAAGTCATTAAAATAAATTTGAATTCAAATAAATGACATGTAATTCGTTAAACCTATTAGAAATGTGCTATAGTATAAAATCTTAAAGCGTAACAGCACGACTGAGACTCATTTTTCAATGAATAACTAATAACAATAATAAAACAAATAAATTCGTGATATAAATCAAAAATCGTCAAATAAATTCGTAATATATAAATTCGTGAAAAAAAGCGCTTTCGACAAAATACTAAAATAGAGATCTATCGACAAAGACTACTCACTTCTGCCTAGCTTAATAGTATTAGATTGCCGCAGCTGATAGGGTGAATTTCGGAAGAGATTCATTTGATGAGAATGCTCTCTCCGGTTATTTCAGTTTCCGTTTTTAAAAGCGCTATATGTTGAGCCACCTCATCTAGATTTGGCATGTGACATTTTTAGCTGCAATCATTGGTCGATTTTCTAGCGTTGTCATTCGGGAAGTTGTAATGAGGCTTTTTTTGTCGCCGTGTAAGAGAAATATATATATAGATGTTGCATGTTGCATACGCCATGCAGCGCCACCTGTAGTTGAGCAGACTCCCTCTACATTCACTCACTGAACGGCTACGGGGAGCGAGCTCATTAAGATGTTCCAGCTCTAATTATTTTCATTTGTCATTTAAGTGTTTTTTGTCATAATAAAAGCTTTAAAACGCAACCCTAGACTGCTTTGAAGCCTCATCGACACTCCCCGTCCGTAACATGGGGGCTCGGCCAAACCTGCTCAATTAAGCTAAAGTCAACAGCAGTATAAAACAAAACAAGAATCCTCCTACAGCTACACCGGCAAAACGAAATTGCCGCCATTGATCATCATCAGCAAAAAAAAATGCCGTTCCTTCAAATCAACACCGTTGAAAAAATATTTGGAATCATCACGCAAGGGAAAAAATTTACAGATTTACTTTCAATTTCAAGAAATACAGGTAGGAGCAACTTTATTACTAAACATGTATAAAAATACGAGAGAAGAAGATCTACTACAGATCGCATTTGAATTAGGAATAACTGTACCGGAAAACGCTACGTTAATTACTCTAAAAGGCTTAATTGAATCAAGTGATGTATTCAAAGAGAACGTAGATTTCGTTAAAAATCTAGTTGCATCAACCGTCGAAGAACGAAAAGCCCGCGAAGATAACGAAAGTGCTAAGATAGTATTAGAAAAAATTAATCTCGCACAGCTAGAACGCCAAATCGAATTAACAAACCTTCGAAACACTCCTAGTGCCAACCTGAACTCATCTAGAAATTCAGACGCAAGTGAAGATGGTCCCGATATCGAAAGTATTATTAGAATCGTCCGAACACTTAGCATGCCTGTGCCGACAAGACCAGAGAACTACAGTTTATTTTTTCAATCTCTTGAACGTTCGTTTACCACAAAAAGAGTACAGGATAAAATAAAATCTGAAATATTGATAGATATTTTAGGCGAAAAAGCAAGTCACGTTTTATTACACATTTCGGAAAATGATCTCCGAGATTATGAAAAAGTCAAAAATGCCGTTTTGAAACAATTTCAGCCAACACCACACGAATGTTTAATGAATTTTCGAAAATTCTCAATGCATGCCTGATGAATCGCACACACAATTTGCATCACGATTTACAACATCTTTTGAGTATTATTGCAAAATACGCAAAGAAACTGACTTTAAAACATTATCCCACTTAATTATCGCCGATAAACTTTATTCAACATTAGATTATGAAACTCTTAGGGTGTTTTTTATTAACATGGGGAAAAAAAAATTTTTTTTCATTGGATATTTCACATCATCCCCTGGACTTCCATATAATTGAAAAAACAACGAAAGTGCTTCATGATAGATCCCGAGAAAAGTAGCTTGACAGCTATTTTTTTTCCATTGCTAATACTATGAACGCTAAAATAGAATTTCAGAAAACTGATAAAGCAAAATTTTTTTTTAATACAAATTTTTTGCCATCATGTAGTTTATCATACAGGGATGGCAAAGATATATAAAATCTCCCTTTTAAATTTTTTGTCACTGATGTTGATTTTTCTTTTTGCACATCAAAAAAAAAGAAGCACTTTGGTGTAAAACAAATATTCTTTAAGTTTCAGCTCAATAGAATAATATTTAAGCCTCTTTCAAGAGTAAAAGATTTTGCCTTTCTTTATAAACAAGAATAATTCACAATCAGCATCATTTAAATAAGAAAAACAAAGACTTTTTATAATTCAAATAATAAATTGAAAATAGTTCTATAAATCTAGGATTCAATGTAAAAGATTAATACTGCAAAATTAAAATACTAACCTCCCTCATGTTAGGAAATGCACCTATCTGTAATTTGGAAAACACTTCTTCGTCATCCACAATTACTTCAAAAGAAGCTGAATAAAAAAAACAAATAAAATAATGAGAAAAAAGTTACTAAAGTTGGGTGTACAAATATATTTCATAAAAATAAAAAAAATTGCTGAAAAAAATATATCAAAATATATCAAGATAGTTGTCTCCCTTACTCCAAAAATAAATTACATAAATACACTTTACTCCTAAAAATAATTTCATTTTATAGATTTATTACAAAATTAAGTACCAGAAATAGAGTAACAACTATTTGCTAGACATCCTTTATATAAAAATTAAATGTCATAATTTACACTGAAATATTGGCTATTCTAACAATATTTATCTATTCGTTCATTAAAATTTTCACACTGATCACAACACTTACATCAAGAAAGTTTACTCTAACAAGAGATAAATTTTTTTGACAATACTACATTTTTCCACAATTTAATATTATTTATAATTTATTGGATAGATAAGATAATTCAAAGATAAAAGAAAAAACTTGCATTTGGGATCTATTTAATTTGAATATAAAATATCAATAATGTTTAAATTTATAAATAAAACATTAATAAAAATGTTAACATTAAGAGACATTCATTAAATAATAGAAATATGAACTTTTTTTACTCATGAATATATATTGAGTAAAAAGTAAAAATTGAATCCAGGTAAAAATTGAAAATATTTATAGGAATGAGAACATTGAACTAATTTATTTTTATTTAAATTAAGATAGACATAGAAATAAAAATGACGTAGTTTAGGGCAAAACAATAACAGGCGTGGAAAAGAATGCAAAAAAGCAGAAAAATATTAATTATTCTATAAATGGTCATTAATTCTTAAATTCTAATGGCAGTACTATGAACAAAAACATTGCAAACTTTAAAGAACATAAAGTTAATTTATAACACTTAAAAAAAAAGTTTTCTATTTATGATTGAAATTTTAAAAATTCGAAATAATGAAAGAGGGCATTGAACACTATTTTTTTAATAAGCATATCAATAAAATATTTAATAATATAGTCAGCGAGTAACAACTTGAAAAATGCTTATAGACTTTCAATAAGTTTGATCTTTATTTGTGTTTGAAGAGTATGAATGTTTATTTAAACCCTTTTCTAAGATCAAATCTGACACTGTAGAAATACCATTAGATAAAGAACACATATTTAACATAAATAAAAAGTAAATAATATAGAGCATAGACATACAAGTTCTTCCAACAGCACCTCTGACTACAGCATCTGGAACTTCTGCTTTAATTTGTCGCTCCAATTCTTTGAAGCGAGGTGCGTAACCTCATTCACCACTATAAAAATTGCAAGATTACATACAAAATGCTAAACCAAGACGTAGCATGAAATAACAGATGATATGGGGAGATTTCCGTATCCTGATCTGTGGCAGAATAATCGCCAAGTCTTGGCAACTTCCCGGCTGTGGCCAGCAAGAAACTAAAAAAAACGCCACAGAAAAGGATCAACTCGAAATGTATAACTTGTAGCCACCCCCGGGTAAACGTCTACACGTTTTGTTGTTTTTATTAAAAAACTGCAAGTTTAAAATCTATTTGGCACCTTGGTGATAGTATCTGGCACAACAGATTCGTGATATAGAAACATCCCCGGTTATAAATTTAGAAAATAATTTTCAAGGAAGTCAATTTCATCTCCACAATTTAAATAGGCCAAAAACCCTACCAAAATTTTAAAATAAATTGTATAAAATTTAGCAACAATTCTATAAAATTTAGCAACAATACAATGTAGGTTATTAATTTATAGGGTAATAATAAATTATGTAGTTATCAAATACATAAGTTATAATAACTCTTTAATTGATTCAGTATCACCTTGTAGAATTAATGTATTACATTTAATCACTGCTTGAATAAAAGAACTGTCTTAGCTCATTAACCAGAAAATACACAGTAAAGTTCTTCTATTCCCTACGATTAAAATTATTATTGAAAGCTCAAAACTATGATAACATGAAAATACAAACATGAGACGTTGGATAAGTTTTTCAAAATATCAGTGTAACATACGCTGAAATTTTGAAAAAGAATACGTTAAACTTGTAAATAAATTTAAAAAAAAGTTTTCTAACCAATATTCGACTTCAACTACAACACTCATCGCTTTCGATTCTGTTAGCAAAATAAAATTATTTCAGTAGCAAAGAACGAAAAACGAAAGTTGCGATAAGATCGACGTCCAGTAACTTTCGCTTTGAGCTTTAAACATTTAGCCTGGGCTAGCCGAGTGATTAATCTTTCATATTAAAATAACGAAAAGACTCTGTATTCTATTTAGATTTTTTTTAAACCTTTCTCTTTTTGCTTTAGTAAAATTTTTATACCTACAATTCTTCTAAGTGTTTATTTTTCTCTTTATTTTATTTTACACAATTCATTTTTTATGGCAATACAACTTCATTCGTTAAATGCAACTTTGAAGCAGTTTCGGAAATTTTGTCCGTTCGAAATGTTGAAATATTACCAATGGTTTATTACACTGTTATGAGAACTGAGAAAACCGAAACGTGTAAAAAGTTCTTGAAGATGACGTTTATCAACTTCACTGATGACCCCCCCCCTCCAATTGATTGTAAACAAAGATCGTGACGTCATGCGTCTGTTCCCCTAGTTGTACTGTTTATTAAGAGAAATTAGCTTAAAAATTTTGAGTTTAAGGTTTCATTTTGCAAATTATGTTCGCCAGAAGTTTACCAGGTTAAATGTAAAGAAAGCTTAACTTACACAATGATGACTATTGAAAAATCTAATCAAAGATTTAACTATGTGTATAGCTCCAATTTAAATCACAATTTTCGAATCAAAATGTTTGTACTATTTGAAATATTTTCTCATGCTAAAACTGTTTTATTAATTATTTAACATCTTTACCACTTTGATTTAAATGTATATTATTTTTATTGAAATTTTACATTTGAAAACAAATTTAATGCTTGAGTGATATTGTAAATAAAATTGTTCGGAGAAGTTTTTTTTGTACCCATATAATTCGAAATTTAAAGTAAATCTTTTTTTTTATGATCTGTTCACTTTTTCAGTGGTACATTGGAGGGTAAACTTAAAAAACCCAGCTATAAGGCACTTATTGATGATCCACTCTTAAAGTTCTCTGGTGTGTTTGAAGAAAAATGTTCTGATCTATATGTGACTTGCCAAGTGTTTACAGATAATAAGCCTTTAGCATTCCCAGTTCAAACCTCTTACAAGGCATTCACAACTCGATGGAAGTAAGTATTACATAGTTTTATAATAATATTTATGTCAAAATCTTACTTTGGGAATACTTTAGTATCAGTATTGCAATTGTCATAGCATTCGCTATTTGCAGTGCCATTACAACTGCAATATTCGAAGTTTGTAGTGTCTCTGCCATGCTCTTGCACTTCTCAAAAGTGAATACCAAACTTTATCAAATTTTGGATTAGTTTGCAGGGCCCGTACTAAGGATTTCAAATTATTAGCCAAATATCAAAATTCTTAGCCAAAGGGAAATATTTAAAATTTTTATGATTAATTTTTTTTCCGAAGAAAAATTTAAATCAAAATACAAATTTATTTTAAATTGAACTATTTTTCTAAAATCCAAGTTCAAATCTAGAGTCATTTTAAAGATGGTGACAAGTAAATGGGCTTTGAATGGGAGAAATGTAGATGTTATTTATGGTCTTTTAGGAGTAGTTTATGGGTTAATTTTTGATAACTTCTTAGTATCATCAGTAATATAAGGATAAACCTCAATCAACATTTGATGATTTTTTTTTCTTTCTTTTTTTTAGATTTTAACTATCTTTTAAATAAATATTTTATTTTAAGTGAAATGTATCATTCTGTATATCCTTTATTTTTTGATAAAAAAAAATTTCTGTCTCACTTATTTTTTTACTGTCATAATCGTAATCATTCAGGGAAAAAAAATGGTCACATTAGTTATTTAAATGATTTAATTCTATTTTATTCTGTTTCATTAGTTTTTATACTAGTCACAGAGAGTTTTTATTGAAAATTCAGCAGGGACTTACCATTTTCATTGCCAGCCTAGTGCTTGCGGTTATACTCTATCTATCATTGAAAAATGGTAATCTTTGAAATCACAGTAAATTTTCTTATTTTAGCACATATTTAGCAAATTTTAAGTTTTGAAATAAATTTATTTTATTAAACATTATAAGAAAAAAAAAATTTACAAAAAGTAGTTGGATGATAATAACCGTCTTGCTACCACCTAATCTGTTTTATTGACAACTGTAGGAAAAATCTTGTCGCACAATCTCGCGTGATCCGTCAACAATCGAGTTCACCTGTATTTTACGGTAGTTTGTTTCATGCTTATATAATCTCTCTTGTCGCAAACATTACCAATTCTAATTGATAATGGGGTGCTCAACCTTTTTGAGTAAAGGACCACATGCACAGCAGATTTAACAATGAAGAGTCGGATACCAAAGTATTTAGACAGACATGCTTATAGCAATTGTAAGTAGTAATTGTTATATAAACATCATTGTTCTAGCACTAAATTCTTTTTATCATGTAATATATTAGCATAAACTTAAATACTTTTTAAATGTTTAAAATTGGAAACTTTCTCTTCAAAACTGATTACTTAGGGGGAAAAAACAGAATCAAATATAACTTATCAAAAAAAAAATTCAGATAAATTGAAATAATTAAAAACAATGGGAAAAATCATGGCTTTTTTTATTACACTACATTTACAAAAGTCTATTTAAACATAAGTTTTAATGTTAAAAAATTTGCTCTAGAATTAAATTTAAGAAAAAAATTAATAATCTTGTTATTAAAATAAATGCAAGTTAAATACTTAGATTTAAATAAAGTTTATAGGGTTGAAAATGATTAAAATTAAAACAAAACCTTTTCAGCTCAAAATAAGACTTAACATTTAGTAGGGAATATGCTTCAACTTTAAAACATTTATTATTGTAAGAGGCAGGGGCTGAGAGAAGAAGAAAAAAAGCATTAATTTTGAAGGAACTAGTTTCCTAAAGTAAAAATAATTATAATCTATTAAGATTGTACTTGTTTACAATTCTTTATGGTCATTACTTTTTTAACATGACCCTTACTATTAACAATTAATACTGTTGAAATTAAATTGCAATTGTAAATAAACAGATCATTTTGAGAAAAAGAAATATTTTAATGAAGATTATAACATAAGACAAACTTAAGACTAAAAAAAAGAACACTTCCATTGATACATTTTCTACAAATTAATTAATAAAAGTTGCCAAAATCAAACGAACAAAAACAAGGCAATGCATCAGTCAGACTGCTTACAACAACCTCGATTTGCTGATTCCATCAATAACCTCCGGTCCTGGTACTTTATATTCTTTCACTCCCCCTTACCAGGGCACGGGAATGATCACTACACATATACATAATATATCACAGTTATTCTATAAAACCTAACTGAGTCCTCAAACTATTGAGTAC